GCATAGATTCCAAATGCTTTCAGGTTAGTTGCATAATTTGAACTGGACTTGCACTTTTGAAGGAGGTTCCCACCGGTGCATATCTGACACATCTCTGCAGTTCAGGAAGGATGATACGCCACCAGCAGAAGATGATGTTCCCTATGGTTATGGCTTCTTCCACTTTTGTGTTTGCCACAGGAGCTATGTACTTCGCAATGCTATTGATCGGATGGAATACTAATAGTCATCATGTAATGAGGAAGTATGGTCCCCTCTTATGGTTGGTCTATTTAATTACTAATTTAATGCTCAGCATAAACGGTTTTTTTTTTTTTTTTGGGAAAATAATCATATACTCTACTTTAGTGGCGATTGTACCCAGCAGTAATGTAGCTTCTGTCAAGTTTTAGTTCTAGATTCCACTACAACGCTAGAATGGCCATCAATAATGCGACTGACGTAAATGTACTTGAACCAATGTCATGTTACACTCATTGAAAGCTTCTTCAGTTGGCCATAAAAAAGAAAAAAAGAAAAAACAAAAAAGAAAGCTCCTTCAGAGAATTCATGAAGGATCCGGAAATAAAATAACACTTAATGCTTTTTATTCCTCTGCAGATGGACAATTGATGTGGGCTGGACCAGTACCTGGGTCAGAATTGTAAATGAATGGCTCGCAGTCTGTGTATACTGTAAGTATCTTTGATACCCAGGAATTATACATTCTCATCGAGAGATGCAATGTACTAACTCGTTACCAAGCACCAGGGCACATGATTAACAATATTAATTTTTATACACTAAAATTGATGAGTGATAAATACTCTCATCACTTAAGTGGTTAAGATTTAAATCTTAACCCTTGTGTATATAACAATTTAGTTGGAGTGGTCTGCCTATTATTCTAATTATTTCAGGAGATATTTATTCACCCAAAAAAAAAAAAAAAAATATGTCCAAGATCAGATGACTCTAATATTATACTGAACTTAGTTAATCTAGATATATATTAGGTTTGTCTTTCTATCAAAATAGTTCAAGTCAATTTGATAGGGACATAGAGCTTATGTATCTTGATTTAATTCTTTAGTTAATCCATATGAAATTTTTAATGCATCCTAATAAGGAGTTTTTTTATTTTCTGACAGTATGGATAGTGGTGGCACCTGTCGTCTGGAAGAGCCGACAAACTAATTCTACATAGGAACGTTCATATTAGTTGAGATTTTTATTTAATCCTCCCTTTTAGGTTGAAGATTTGGATGATCAAATCCAGCTCTGCCAGGTAGGAAATTATCCATCAGAAGCACTGGATACAGGGCAATCTTCACATATTATTCTGATGGGATCTGATTCATTTCCACGTGAGGATATGCTTGCAGTCTTCTTCTCAACCTGCACGTGTACGGAGATTCATGGATGGTCATCATAATTTGCTAAAGGAGTTTTATTGCTGGTTTCCTGGCCTAAAAAGAAGCCTGTTTTATCGGGGGAAGTTCAGGACCATGAGGTCAAATTATTGGAGGACAAAAAAGACCAAGGTCCTTCAAGTGAATTAAGGTTATTTGACCTCATGTTTCAATTCCCCCGTTTTAGCGTCTCAAGGTGAGAAGGATGTTGCAGCGAATTGTAGGAAATTTTTATTAATTTTTTTTTAGGGTGCAGCACTATGCCCCCTGGCAGCATTCATCACATAGAATAGTGATTCTACGTTTAAAAAGTGGATTTCCAGGATCTGCTGCCTATTTTATCCACATAGGAATGGACTTAGGTATACTGTAGTGGGAAACAAGAAAACTGTAGTTGACTATAATTTGTTGGCCGCGCTATATTATACATCATGTAAAATTATACAAGGGTTACAAAATCATACAACACAACTGCTCAGCACCATCTAGGCTACCATTGCAAATGTGCATAATTGCACCAACAGGAGGGTGGGAGTATAATTTTACCATTTAACAGCAAAGTTTCATTTGGTCTTTACTACATAATTCTTAGGAAAATCACACTTAACAACCGGCAAAAATCAGTAATAACTATTCAAGACCATAAAATGTTAAAATTGAATTTTTGGATCATGGTCCTCTTTTGTCGTTTAAAAAATTATGTTTTGACTAAAACGTTCCTGTCTGAAATGTAAATTTCACTTTTACAGGTATTTTAGTTGCAACAACAATTTGTAAACTGCAAAAAGGACCCTAGAATTTAATTTCAAGATTTTATGGTTTTCAATGGTGGTTATTGATTCTCACAGGTTTTTAATTATGATTTTCCCCAACTCCTATTACGCTACTTTCAATATGTTATAAACAATTTACAGGACCGAGGGAGATATTGTACTTTGACCCTCAACGAAAATCACTATTCACACTGAGTGATTGGCTTTTAACTGACAGAAAATGGAAAACCACAAACCTCTCTGATGATTTGTACAGAGAGCAACAAGATTAGGTTCTTGGCTTCATCCAAATGGATTCCTTTCTGCAGAAGAGAGGTTTGAGGAAGGAGGGGCTGAGAATGTACCAGTCAGATGCTGATCTGAGCTTGTGAAGCCAAAAGCAGCTCCCTCGGCACCAAAGCTCCGAATCTCCTGATGCTGATGCCTGCACATGAAGTTGATTTGAAAATCCCAAACTGCAATTATGAGATTCAATACTACAACCATATATTTAAAGTTGGAATAGCAGAAATAAGAATGTTGAGATAAATGTGCGAACATATACGTAAAGAAAAAATTAAAAATGAGCATATACGGGAAAAAAATGAGTGTCGCACCTATTGCGGGGAAAATAATAGAAAATCGTTTGATATAATTTGAACATGGACAAAAAATATTGCAGAAGGCAGAGGAAGAGTGAAAAATATAACTTTGAACTCTGTTAAAAGAAGTAAAGGAAAACTAAAGAGAACGATTTTGAAAAGTTATTAACTCTTAATTAACATTTCTAAAAACTTGATAAATGTAAAGCACAATGGTGTAGGACAATTCATGTAACCGACCTCACTTAGTGGGATAAGGCTGCTTGTTGTATAGTTAAATTCATCCTCACTTCACAGACCAAGACTAGTAGTAAAAACTCCAGAACTCTCTACAAGCACTATACCTAACAGATTAACTGTTCCCTGTAAAATGTGACATTTTATGTAGGCGAGTTTTGGGTTTAGCAGTCTTGGTGGATCAAGCTTTAGCCTAAACCCAAGTTCACGTTGTTAGATGGGGACTTCTCAGGATATTAATGAGATACTAGGGTTCTTCAGTGCAATATTCCCTTTTATTTGAAAAATGAGTGAGTACAGCTTTTCAGCAACATGCACGTCCCAAAATTACCTACTGAGTGCATGGGAGTTATATGGACTATGAGGCTATAGTGAAAACTGACTTATTCACTCTGCATCCAGAAGCAAAAAACATCTCTCTCTCTCTCTCTCTCTCTCTCTCCCCTTCTCTTTCATGCATTCACTGTGAACCAGAAACTGAGTTCAAGTAACTCCACTTGTCCCTATCTACACGTGCAACTGACAGGTATGCTTCCTAAACTCACATTGGTACCAGAGAACGGGGAAAAAAAGTAAATATCATCATAACCAAATAGTTTTACCTTGCCATTGCCATGTTCATTCGCACTTGTTGCCCCGTGTAAGGCCCTGAGGTTTTCAAAACACAGGTCAGCATACAGTGGGGGAAAAGTGGAATAGCCTCAGCATGAATCATGAAATAATCAACAGAAGAATGATGGATGGATTAATGTACTTGGTGCCATTGCTAATGGATGAGGTTGTGTTTGTGGAGGCTGCACTAATCCATACCCGTGCGGATTCCATGCAAGTGATGGATTACTTAGGCTTGAAGGAAGCATTAAACCTGAAGTTGATACACTTGGCAGACCACCTTGCAAGGATGATCTTGAAGGAAACTACACACAAGGAGCACCAATTATAAAAGCATTACCCAAATTTTTTTTTACACAGATAAAATTAAGCTGATTAACTAGTTTCTGCATAGGGAGAATGACATTTAAAGCCCTTTCAAGAGAATTTATCACAATAACGACTTACAAGTTTTATATCGGATATTGTTTTGTGAAAATACGTGTATGTTGTTGTTAAAAGCTGAAAATATAGTTAAGGTTTAGCTTTTAACAACATATACGTATTTTCACAAAACAATATTCGATCCAAATTTTATGAACCCTTATTGTGATAAATTTTCTTGAGAGGGTCTTAAATGTCAATCACCCTTACATATAATACAAAATCTTAGGAAGCTGCATTATTTATAACCCATTAATAGTGCAATTTACCGAAAAGTCCATACAAAGCATTGACCCATAACTATAATAAATTTTTCACCATAAACAGACAAGACAGATTTTGAAATCCAGATTTTTCATGTCATACACGGAGTGACACATTAGAATGTCAGCATGACAAATTTGTTCCAGCTTAATAGATGCATGATGATCATAAAGAAAACAAAGAATACTTTTCACACAATCATCAATATACTTCCAAACTATTAATAGGCATGCTCCTCTAAAGTGCAGGATTCTCCTAAATTAATGTACACAAGTAACAAAAAGTTAAAAAAAATAAAAAATAAAAAGCTTCTAGAACAATGACTCAATAGTGGACAAAACCCAAACCATACCACTGATCTTCCACAGACGATTATTCAAAATTACTGTCCTCTCTAAACCTATACTGTATTAGAAAGCTTGGTTTGGATGGAGGGAAAAGTCATAAGAAAATATGGAGGAAAGAAAAATAGGAAGAGAAATTTCCAAAACTAGTAAAATTTTTTTACTATTGTTAGGAGTTTTCCGTCAGTTTTCTTTCCTCTTTATTTTTCTCCCCATCCAAATGAATGGTAAAAGAAGCAAATCCCCATTCAGCAATCAGTGGGTTCATTCAAATATCACGTATGACCTACCATACATGGATAAGGTTATGAAGTTTTCAAAGGTCTAAGATATTATGTATAACACTATTGTTCTAAAATAACAGAAGTCACGTACAGTTGTTTGAACCGGAAGTGGTTCACTGCCAATTTCAAATGGGTTTGTTGATTTTGATGGTCGCTGAAGACTTGGCATGGGCTGTAACAGAGAGTAGGCATTTATATGAGAAATGCTTACACAAATGCCTAAGCTGTAGATTAAGAGAAAAAATTTGTATGCACCCGTAGTTGGATTGCAATAGCATTACCACAGTATTATATGGCATTGAGATTCCATGCCATGAGGTGGGACCATATACCACCCTGGAACTGCAGCAGGGAAGCAATAATACTTTACAGTAAAAAGATCCTGCAGAAATTTATAAGCTATTGTAAGCAATACTGTACATTACACACATCCATCAAGTGTACAGAGTAGATGCCTTTTGAAGTAAAACAAGAAGGAAGAGTACCTCAGGAAGTTCTTTTCTTCCACTTGTTTTACTTCAACAGACAGTCCTGGAGCAGCACTGGAGCTAGTCTCAGTAGCAGGCTTAGAGATAAGATGGGATACATGTGGCAGTGACATGCTCGGATGGCCATGTATTGTTGGAGCTGGAGGCATACTCCATGGCTGCAAGATATTTCCATGAAACAAGAAAGTGAACAAAGATTGCATCTGCATAAACAGAATGTAAGATAAGATTTTTCCATAAGCCATGCCTGATTATTCGATTCTCCTATTGGTTGTGGTGTAGACTGATGAGTCAAAGACTGACCAACATTGGGAGGGAACAAAGGCTGTGGATGCTGCAATGCTGAAGAACCACCGGATGGAAAAGTCGCAAAGCTGCTAATAGTTGCAGCTCCAACGGCAGTAGCAGTAAGAGATGGTGCTGGTGCAGGCCCAGCAGGTGAAACAGATAGGTTCCCAGTTCTTTGTAATGTCATACTCCTCCCAGGAACAGGTGTTACAACACTGGAACCATGTTGGACTTGAGGAGCATGAGCTGGTAATGATGATGATACTGACAATTGGGAAAGCATGGATTCCAGTGCATTTACATTTGAAGGAGTTTGAGTTGCTTTTGCTTGTGGGGTCACATCAAAAGAGGCCCAATTATTGTCATCTCTGGAATTTGGTTGCTCTGCAATGGATTGTGTGGTAGTTTGTTGGATGTAAGTAATTGCTGGATCTACCCGAGGCTCAGGCTCATCATCAAAATCAATCAGGCTCTTAGTAGTCTCAAGCTTAACTTCTGCAGGGTTTCCAATGCTGGATGCGAAGCTACTGGAAGATACAGTCCTCTGCAATTATAAGCAGTCAGCTATGGTCATATAATTTACAATTTAAAATCATTATTGAGCACCCCACAATACAAATATACAATAGAGAGAAAAAAACAATGAGATGTCAAAATACAGCAATAAAAGGGAAAGAGGCAATAATTAGTGTTCATGCTAATTCATAATTCCAATTTTTTAAAGATGGTAAACGAAAAGATCAACTCATTCAGGGATGATAATAAATCCACTAGCAACCAACAGGATATAAAATAAACAATTTTTTTAATGTAGAAATAAAGGCATTTATTAAGAAAGAACTGCCTCAATTTTGAGCGTGTATACAGTTGGGTGACACTAGAATTTCAGTGTTCAAGACTAAAATATAATATTGAACTCATACATACCACATGGTAAACATGGTAAACCAAAAGCATCCTGCCTAATGCATGGTTACACAAAAGAAATACAGTTGCATGCATAACAAAATGTCATAATCCATTTTAAATGCAACAAAGCCTCATCCATTTTAAACACAAATCAACCAGTTTATCTCTGTTGGGTAAAATTTCACTCCTAATTAAAAGGGAAGAAATGCCTACTAAATGTCATTGGACAAGTTGTCAGCCATGAAATTCTTAGCCCTTTATATATAACAGAATATAGAATACAGTTGAACCAAGAAGTTAAAAGGGAAAATAAAGCCTCCTAAAATATATAGCCTAGTGAGATGTTGAAAGCTAATGATCAACTTTAATATGCTAACAAATTGTAGCCAACAACTTAGCACTGATTAACACCTAACAAACTCTACAGTAACAGCAGGCTTTGCAGCAAGATTGCCCAAATGGCTGAATCATAAGGAACATCACAAATAATAATTTCACCTGTGTGAGAGCTGAGCCATCATTAGCTTTTCCACTATTTGTTTCAGGGGTTCCATTTATTTCAAGAGGAACTGCATTTTCTCCCAAAATATCTCTGACAGACCGAACCACAGGTGGACTTGAAGAATCTAGCTTGTTGGCTTGCCCAGGCAATTGGCCTTCCAGCTTATAATCTCCATCAGATCCTCTACGACCTTCAAACCTCCTCTCATCTCCAACTCTATCTTCTTGGCGCCAATCGTTGATAATTGGAGGATGACTAAGACTTCTCTTATCATTACTATACTCCCTACTTTCTTGATCATGCCCAGGACTTCTTCCACCTAGACTAGAGCTGTCACTATATTGGTGTTTATATGTGTCATCATATGGTGGGCTTTTAGGACCACCCTGATATGATTGAACTCTCGAGTTTTCAGAGAAATGATCCTTGTCACCCTGGACAACATGCAATGCAAGAGAGGAGACGTAAATATAATGGAAAGGCTCCAGGTATTCATAAAGTAAAATAGTGTACTTGTTAACGTTCAATTTTAAACAAAATGTTTTATCTATTCCAAAAATAATGAATTCAAACTGGGGACAAATGAGACTTTACTGTATTTACTCTCTGTGATTTGTCATAGGTCCTCTCAACAGTGAATCTTTTATCCACATAAACTTGTTTAATAAAGTTGCGGAGCCTGCCAACATTACTGGCACCAAACATGCCAATCAGAACAACGTATCAGGCAATTATAATAGATTACAAGCAACTAGTTACCTGTTATCAGGGAGAGAATAACTTTTAGGATCCCATTGTTTAAAATAAACTTCTTTTGCATGCTGCAAGAATTAAAAACAGCCAAATCAACCAATGAAAGGGAATTCCTCAAGTGCACTATAACTGCAAACAAGCCGATATACCTGATTCCCTCCTTCCTGAAGTGCACTAACTTCTTGCGAAGTGAACTTGGCCATTGATATTGACTTTACTCGATGCGTAAATTCCCGGCTGGAAATTGACACACAAAAGTAATTCACTTTCAGGTACAATGCATTCAGCAGAAAGGAAACACTATCTTCACCTCTACAGTACAGAAGATTATACAAAATGTACTTCTTATTCACACAGAATATGGCAGCTTGCCTTAGACATAGCTGTAGTAGAAGCTCAAGTAAAATACATGAAAAGCATGCAAACCATAAGCACATGACAAAGATCAAGTCCATTACAATGAGTGATTCTGGTCAGTAGAGCAGGCCTGCATACACTGTAGAAACATGTACTATTCGGAAACTATGGTAACTACTTTTAGAAACTTGACAAATACAGAATACAAAAAATATTGTAAGGGGCTAAGGGCTTACTGTATTCCACTACAGCTTGTGCAAACAAATGTCCAGAAATTTGTGCATACATATTGCGGCCCCTGCTTGGATGAAAAAGGGAAAAAACGGATATTAGTGAAATGGATCAGGCACAATGCTATTTCTAGAAGGATCTGGTTAGAAATTAAAACAAATATGTCCACAGACCACCGAAACAATGTGAGTTGAAAGCAGTAAACTAACTGTAACTGCTAAAGAAGAAAAACACAAAATAGAAATTTTATGAACCTATTTTGGTACACGTTGGAGAAGAGTTTTAAAACTCCTGGCTCCTGCTGACTGCCCTGTCAGTGTTTTTGTTGTCCATTTTAGCACATTCTAACATGCTAAAGAGGAAACGGCATAGTCTTAATGACCTGCCGCAATGTATTATTTGTGTTCCACCATTGTATATTATCAGTAGCAATAAATTGGGTGATAATTTACAGAATTACAGAGTTTGGCTGAATACAGCAACTTCAAATCAATTTCATCCATAAAATATCAAGGCAATGAAAAATGGAAATATCACATGAATGACTTTTGACAACTAAAATCGTGTAAGAAGCACATGAGAGTTATTTTACCAGACTGTTGCAATTAATACATCTGCGATTCGCTGGTAGTTTGAGAAGACCTCGAATTATTCGCTCATTTTTCTCATCTTCCTTTAGTCGATTTGCCATCTCTTCTTCTGCCAAGTCGGAGCGATAGTCATATTACAGAAAAATCCTACAACGCTCACTTAATCAAAATTTCTTACCAGACATGATCATCAAACTTCAATAACTTGCTCGAAAAGTAAAACCGGCGAACAGAGTAAAAACTTCATGCTTTTAAACTCGTGATCATTCACGCACTTAATTCAAAAAAACCAATACGAATACAATGGCGTCAAACATTTTACTCCATAGGACTCGCACTAAGTTCGTTGATGTCCAATAGTAATGCATACAGAAAATTTAAAAACTCTCTCGTTCCTTTTCTTAGCGATCAACGTTCAAATGTAAACAACACAGCAATGAAACAAACTTTCAGAAAGCATCACACTCAACTAAGAAAAACAAAAAGGTTGACTGGTTTTATATGAACCTAAAGAAGAGGAGGCAACAAAGGGAAGAAGAATTGAGGAGATAAAGTGAAAATGGAACTAACCTCAATTTAGCTGAATATCAAGAAATACTTCTATTTCTGCAGCTTTTTCGTAAGCCGAAGACGATGTCCAAGGGATCCACGGCTAGTGCAGACGAGGAAGAGAGAGAAAGAGCAGCAGATCTTACTGAGTTGGAAACCACGGCTTTGTACAGCTCAGAGAGCTTTAGCCAAACTCTATAAAAATGTGAAGAAAAAGGCGGGGAGAGAGAGAGAGAGAGAGAGAGAGAGAGAGAGAGGCGTAAATTATGTGTGACAAATTTAACGGTGCAAAGATCCTACGAGAATGACGTGTCTCTATTCTGTGGCGTCGATCTGCTTGTTGAACTTATAACCACGGTCCATGGTCAAGCCAGTCTTACATGGCGACTAGTCTGTCTTTTTAAGCTAAGATTAGATTTCTTGACCATAACATTTTTTTTAATTTCTAGAAACATCGCGGCTTGGGAAACTCACTCGTATAGTTATAATATATTCCTTCTAATTACTGAGTAAAGAGGGTTCTCTTTGCTATTCATATAAGCAAAGCAAGGTATATTTGTAAGGAAAATACTGTGGAGTTCAAAATAATCGTCCACGTCACACTTATAATATAATCATCATGCAATTCCTTATTATAAAATATAAAATTTATAGTAAATATTGATTATGAGTAGTAAATAGAATGGTTTATTTTAAAAAAATAGCGTGTTTTTTAATTCATAATAAACATTAGTAATATTTTATAAATAAAATATTTGTATGAAATTAAGGTAGTTAAAATGTTTATAGAAATTAAGACATTTAAATTTTTTTAAAATATGTTAATGATTTAAAAATTAATAAAATCTCTTTTAATATATTTTAAATTATTATAAATATTATTTTCCTACTAAACTCAAATATTATTTCTTTTTATGACATATCAAACATATTTATCTCCTTGCATCGAACTTACATTCCCATCCATAATTCATTTCCAAAAATTATCATAAATTCCTTTAAAATATGGGAGGGACGAAAATGCAGATTCCGACAATGATGGAATGACTTCGCAATGACAGAAATGTCCTCCAATGTCAGTTCCCAACCTCAAGGCCCTGATGGCATCCTACGTGGCATTTATATAATAACAAATTTTGTAGTTGCTGGTTTTAATGCTTGAAAAAAACTGGGAGAATGGCCGCAAGGATCTACAGTGAGGGCCGAATATAATTAAAAGTTCATTTATTCACAAATATAGGTTTATTGATCTACTTATGAATAGATGAGCATTTAGTTGTGTTCTGCTATTTTTTTTTTCCTCTGAGACCCTCACTGCCATTCTCCCTTAAAAATTTTAGGTATTTCTATACAAAAATTCTTTTTTAAAAGAAGAAAAATATATTTAAAAAAAATATACAAGGAAATGCTCAAGTTACATAATAAACATTAAAAAACTAAGGAGAAAAACCAAAAATAGAATAGAAGATGTCCTCTTAAGCAACTTGAAGGGCTAAAGTCTAAATGAGACAAATAACACACGCAGATCTTCAATCACAACATCCATATTTTCCCTGCTTGAGAGGACATTCTTGAAGTAACCTCTCTTGAAGCATTAGATCTTTCATGCTCAAACTAAATGGACCATAACTCAGGTTTAAATTACAAACCCACCTTATAGCAGCCCAAAGACATAGATAAAAAAAGATTTGAAATGTGATTTTGCTTCCTAACCGTAAACCTCATGCAAGAATTGATCACCAAGGAAGATCCTAATCTGGCAAAGGACAAACCATTATCGATAGAGGTAAAAGACTCATGCTGAGGAGCTATCTCAAAGTGAGAATTAACATCCCATTAGCAAACATTTTCTACTACAAAACAATGGTTGTTTAATGATCTAATAAAACTGGCAGAACATTGAGGAATTCCCTAGTGAATGAACTGATTTCTTACCTGCCAAATTAAGTTCAAAAAGACAATAATACGGGTAATTTGTTCAATTGAGTTAATTACATATAGTTGAAAAATATGCAATAACCAATTTGTAAGATCACCAGACGAAAATGAAGATGTCATAATGTCCAAGCAAACAAACCAAAGTGATCTAGTGAAGTCACAAAAAGCGAAAATACAATCTACCATTTCAGCTGTAAACATCCAAAAAAACACAATACATTGCAAGAGAGATTATGTTCATCACAACACCAAATAGAAGTGCTTTATGAATGAGTTTCTAGATGAAGTGAACGTATTTGAAGGGAAAATTTAATTTCCATATGACCTTCTACATAGCATTATGTGAGTGAAGAAGTTGTACCCTACTTTGGGATGAAAGAAATTTGAAACCTTGTCGAACAGTATACTCTCCATAACTTGATCCTGTCCAAATGAATTTATCCTGATGAGAAAGAGGAAGAGGAATGCACAGTATATTTCTAGTGGTTCGATTGTTGTATAAGGTGTAGAGTAACCAATGATTCCACTTGTGCTTATGCCAACCAGAGGAATGAGGTTGCATTTATTAAATCTGCAACTTTGAGAGAATTGACATCTAAAGTGTTATGAGCATTTTCAACAGGATATCAAAGTGGGTTCTTGAGAGGGATGCTTGTACTAGAACCAACTTTCCATTTCAACTTTGAAACTAAAAGATCAGCACATGAGAAAATGCCTTTCCAAAACCAAGAAGAATTGTAAGGCTTCTTGAGCAAAGGAGATGAAGTAATGTTGGGTAGCGTTTGGATTTGTATATTTGGATTTGAAATTAAGATTTGAAATTTCACATTTAAAATCTTCCATGTATTTCAATTTTTTTGTTTGGATAGTTAAAAAAATTTCAAATTTTACTAAAATTCTTTGTTTGAATTGTGCAAGAAATTTCAAATAACTATAATCCAATTCTATTTTAAATTTTTTTATTATTTTGTATTTAAATTATCAACCAAAATTTTTACCCTTCAATCATATTATCCTAATCATTTTTTAGAAAATCTGATCAATAGAAACAAAATAAAAATTTAATTTAAAATGATGAATTATATAATTGATTTGCCATTCAACAATAAAACAAATATTAAGAACTTTGTTAAAATTTTGAAACACCAAAACTAAATATTTTCAATACCAATTAAAGCAAAATATTAAGAATATTACCAAAATTTTCAAACACCAAAAAAAAATTCATTTTTGCTTTTTCTTTACACTTATAATCTGACTTTATGAGTCACAAACACATGAAATCCTAAAATAAATGAAAATCTCAAGCCACAAGGCTCGAACAAATGAAAGTAGAGGGCATACAAGCTTGCCAATATCATAATAAACGAGATGGTCATTTAACAATGTTCTAACTCTATCCATAAAACTTGTGATGGAAATAAAAGCTTGCCAAGAATTTGGTATAAAAGATTTCCACTTGGAAGAAATTATCAAAGAGGCAAATCAAGATAATATGAGTATATATATTCTGACTACATATTCAAAATGGCTGCAATGAATTTTAGCTCCAATACAATCAAAAAGCATTAATATAGAAAAGACAAAGAAACCTTTGACTACAAATAAGTTCCAGTTGAAAAAGAAAAATTTATATTACTCTATCAACTTGATATTCATTTCATAAAAACTAAAGTATCTCTATATGTTATAGTATCAATGTCAAATAAAGGGAAAAATAGAAATGTTTTAACAAATGGTAGAAATATTGAATATTATCAACTTTCTGAAAGTTAAAACAAGAAAGCATCATATAACACAAGAAAGTACAGTAGAAAGCATCAAAAGTTTTGAAAAAATAGCACCAATAAAATTTTGATAAATTTGGAAGACCTAGTTGGTCTTGTAGGCCTTAACAATCTACACTTAAAGACAAATCCTATTTTGCTTGCATAGAATAAGGGACCTGAAAAAACAAAGGCATAGAAGAGAAGAGAAGCACTTCTTCTAACAACCCAAGTGTATATTCAGCCAATTTATTCATAGAAGTCTCCTCCATAGATGTGACTGATGCTACAATAAAGATAGTCTTCATGAAGTGTCTGCAAGAAGTTTTATGACACCATAATGGTGAGGATACAGGCTAACACATGTATTAAAAAGTAAATGAGCATTCTTAGAGTCAGCCTACATTTTATTTCCTATAAGTGACTAATCTAAGTCAATGCCAGAGAGCCCATAGCCTAGCTAGACTATACCATAGTCTATGGTCAATCCTTCTGATTACAGCCCTTTAATTTCAAGTATTGGGAATTGGGGATCCAGTGCCAAAAAAAATAATGTGTATGCTCCAAATTTATTAGCTGCTACCAAACTTTTTTTCAAATAAACAACAACGCATCAAGCTGGGGGGTATTTGTTGACAATTACTCATATGGTAAGACTAGGAGGAGCCTAAGAGCATTGTAAACTCTATTGGCACTTAGCAGTAGGAGCAGTTCTGAGAGCCTGGCGGTTTCTATTGTCAATCGCTTATTAGTTGTAGATTATGTTAGTATGAGAGGCCTTTATTTCATATCTATCATTCCTCATTTTAAAATCTAGCCTCCTTCCTTATCAGTAGAGAACCCCGTACCTCAGCGAGCAAGCAATTGAATGAAAACTGTGTTATTAACAAAAACAAATACCTTCTCTAAAATTTGAATTTTTAAACTTCAAGCTTGCTGTGAAGGAACTAGAATTTGAGAACTGCCTATGCCTTCCATTTTAATCAAATTGACACTTGAAAATTGTGCTTATGTGAAGCCCTGAACTGAATCTTGTAGATCATTCCCTTGTCCAGACTTATTTCATCATAGATTATTGCTACTTTTCTTAGGCAAGAAGAAAAATTACTAATGCGTATCTTTAAAGGGTAAGGATAACATGTTATACCCAAAATGCCTAAATTAACCAAGCATCATCGTCCTCATTATTACAATTATACTGAGGACAATCAAATATCAATTATGTACTAGTGCCTATTTTGCTAAAAAAGCCACCTAGAAATGAGAATTATGAACCACAGTATTGATAATTTAAATGATATAGCGAATTTGAAAGGAAATTGAAGAAGGGTACCTTTAAATAGACAACCCCACTTGTTATTGTGTAGAGATAGCAAAGAAGTAAACAAGGTAGAGGAAGTAGCATTATGCAATGGCATCAAAGACACTTGTGTGCTAGCCAACTACTTTGGAAGCCATGAATAC